GAGACATTGATTATATAGTTTTATCAAGGAAGAGGTTTCACTGCTTAACAAGAACACCTGAAAATTTCATCACAAAATCAGATGAATTAAGATCCTTTGAAAGTGTTCAATTCCATAAAGTCCAGAGAAACAACTTAGAAATTATGAGACCAAAAAAGGCTTTAAATGCCATTTTTTTCAGTTCCCCCCCCCTTTTTTTTGGTAGAGATTTTTTTGCTGTAGGGTGTGCGCACTCACCAAGAAGACAGAGAGACAGAAAGTGAGAAATCACCCCCTAGAGAGGATGGCCACACTGCAGTCCCTTCTCCGTCTTCCTCTTGAGATTTTGGGCACAAACACACACGCCTGGTATGAGTTATAAGCCTCCAGGTCCAGGACTCGAACCGCAGTCAACTATGTGGGAGTCCAGCAACGTAATCATTATGTTATCTGCTGAAACCTTTAAATTCCCTTTTTTAAAGTTTATTTTTATTTCTTCTAAAAGAGAGAGAGATGGAGGGAGGCACAGACAGGAAGCACTAAGAGAGTCCTATGCTACCACTCATCCCCAGGTCCAGGCAGTCTGGGTCACAAACATGTGCCTGCACCCAGCACAGACACAAATCCAGGGACCTTTTCAGCTAGGCCGTGTAACAGCATCACGTAGCCACCCATGCGCCCACCACCACTGCCAACCCTAAGGCTTTACATTTCCAAAACTAGTACATTTATAGTCCACCTCCTTACAGAATTTGAGAATTGCTATATGTGTAATATTTTGTGTCCTCACATAATAATCACTATTTTGAATTTTTTTATTTTTGAGAGGTTTTTGCTATAGGGCATGTGCACTTGCCAGAGAGAGAGAGAGAGAAAGTGAGAAATCATCCCCCGGGGGGATGGCCATGCCACAATCCCTTCTCCTCCCTTCTTCTCTCAGGATCCTGGGCATGCACATACACACACTCAGTGTGAATTTAAGCCACCAGGTCTGGGACTCGAACCATGGTCAACTACATGGAAGTCCAGAGACACAGGCATTATGCCAACTGCTGATACCAGCATTTTGAATTTAAGACATACAAAAATACAACAAAAACCTAGTGTACAGTTCTCAAACATTAGAGCACACTAAACAGCAGTATATTTGCAAAGAAATTTTCTTCTTTCTTTTCTTCCCTAAGTTTTGCCAGAGGGTGCGTGTACTTGCCAGAGAGATACGGTGAGAGAGAGAGAGACAGAGAGAGAAAAGTGAAAAAGCATCCCTCATGGGGGATGGTCATCCACAATCCCTTCTCCTCTATTTCTTCCTCCTTTTGGAACTCTGGACACACATTCCCAAGCACTCAGCACATTGCTCAAATCACTGGGTTTGGGACTTGAACCATACAGTTGGCCATGTGAGATCCAGTTACCTTTACCATGTCACAGGCTGGTTCATTAAAGGAATTTTTCTTACAGAGCTGCGTATATCGTCTTTCTCACCTTCCTTAAAAATCCTGACATTCATTTTAAGAATTTACTGAGTACAGGGGCCAGCGGGCAGCATGAGGATTGAGGCACTGGATTCCCACATGGCTGACTACAGTTCAAGTCCTGGACCTAGTGGCCTGAAAATCATACTGGACACACATGCATGTGTGCCCAAAATCCCAAGAGGAGAATGGAGGAGGAGGGATTGCAGCATGGTCATCCTCCCCAAAGGGTGACTTCTCATTCTCTCTCTCTGTCTCTCTCTGTGAACGTTTGCATCTTATGGTAAAAACCCAAAAACTTAAATTTAGTTTAATTAAAAAAAAAAAAAAAAGAATTTACTGAGTAGCTATTCTCCACTGGACTCAGCTTTTTTGAAGAGTTACAAAGGTCAATCAGCCACGTTTCACCTTCAATTTTAAAAGTGATGTTGGGGTCAGCAGGTGGTGTGGTGGTTAAAGGCACCTGGATTCCCACATAGCCAACCATGGTTCGAGTCCCAGACCTGGCGGCCTGCTTTCCCTCTTTCTCTCATCAAATTAATAACAACAACAAATGGAATTAAATTTAAAAAATACTTCTTTAAAGAAAAAAAAGTGATGTGAGACATTTATCAAATTAACTGGAAAGAGATAAAGTATCAAAGAGAAGCAAATTAGTGAGAGAGAAAGAAATAATGCAGTGAAGCTCAGCAGAAGAAACTAGTGAGACTTCCAATTCCAGGTCATAAGCTGTATTGTTGTTTTTTAATTTGTTAAGGACATGTGCTCTTGTGGAGACGAGGGAGGGGCAGTGGGAAAACACCCTCAAGGGGATTACTGTGCAGCAATCCCTTCTCCCCTGGGAATTCTGAGCATGCTCACATATGAGCCCAGCAAGGTTTCCAAGCTGGATCCAGCTGCCTTAACCTCCATGCCACCTGGTTGGCCCCAGTGATTTGGAGTCGTAGGCTACCACTGCATGAGGACTGAGCCACATGTGACCTAAGCACATGGAAGGGCTGGAGGTGGGGTGCAGGGATCAGTGTGATAAGACACTACAGAGAGGGTCTGTTTATGTCTGTCTCTCCCATCATGAAAGGAATTAAAACAAAAACTATATATATATATATAATTTTTTGAATGAACATTAATTCCACGACCCCCTGAAGAATCTCCAAGGCCAGCCTTACCACCTAGGGGTTAAGGGAATCAGATCTCACACGACTGCCCTCATTTCGAATCCCAGCCCCAGGGGGCTTAAAAAACACATTGGCACATGCCTAAAATCCTGACAGGATGGAGAAATGGAGAAGGGAATGTGGCATGACCACATCCCATAAGAGGGGATGCTTTTTCCCTCTCTTGCGTGAGCATACGTGCCCTGTGACAATTTAAAAAATAGGAAGAATGTAAAGAACGGAGGGAGGAATCTGAAAGGTCTAATAGCCTATAAGCCATGAGTTCTGTTAAGGGCTTCCTGAGGGCAAGAACAATTTACTATTTCTCTTTGGGTCCATAAGGTATGAGATTTACTGAAACCAACAGAAACTGGCTTGTGATTAAGGAAGAAAGAGAAAAAAATCAATGACTCTAAGGTTTCTACCTGATCATCTCAGCAGAGTGATGATGAAAAGGATTTAAGTTTTGTTTGGGAGATGTTAAAAATCAAAAATCTATAGTACATCCAGGTGTTCTACCCCTAGGAGATAAAATACTGGTCAGAGTTCCAAAAAGAGGCCACATCCATAGTTCTGAACTTTGAGCACCATCGTGTATGGTGTGGTGACAGCTACAGCCATGTGGGAGGATGAGGTCACTAGGCATGAATGTGGCCTGTCCAGAATTTACCCATTCCAGGGAAAAGACAAGACTACATAGGGGCAGAGAAAGAACAGAGTGGAAGAGAAACAGGAAAAGTGTCACATGAACCCCGAAAGGTACACGTTTCAAAAAACACTTTTAGTACGCTGCCAAGTGATAATCAGGAGGGTGGTTAGTTTGAAGACTAAAAAGGCAGCTACGTCAGGTATGGTGGTATTTGCCTGTAATCTCAGTTGCTCAGGAAGCTGAGGCAGGAGAATCATGAGTTTGAGCCCAGGCTAATTAATTAATTAATTTAATGATGTCACATAAGCAGATCTCTTCCTAATACTCCACTTCTTTGAAACTGTGAAGATATTCAAAGTTAGTTCCCACTGGCTGCAAAAACTTAAGAGCAGTCAAGTCACAGTGGTTAAAGTAGTAGGCCACTGCTGCTCAAGGCTGGAGCCACATGTGACCTCAGCACATGAAAGGCTAGGGTGAGATGAAGGGATCACAGTGTGATAAGACACAGCTGAGGATGTCTACCTATGTCTGTCTATCTATCTCTCCCCTTTCCCACGAAAGAAATTAAAAACGAAAATACCTATCTCTCTCTTCCTCTCTCCTCCTCCTGCATTAAAGGCCATTCGTGAGGGCAGCCCCAAAGGGTAGTGGTCTAGTACTGCAAAGAGAAAGCCAGCTCCCATGTGGTTGACCAGGGTTTGAGTCCCAGACCCAGTGGCTTGAGAAACACTCTGGGCATGTATACATGCTCCCAGGACCCTAACAAGATGACGAATTGGAGGGAAAAAAAGGTTGCAGTGTGAGGCCTGCAGATGGTGTAGCAGTTACACCACTAGACTCCCATATGGTTGACCACAGTTCAAGGCCTGGACCCAGTGGCTTCCAAATCGTGCTGAGCATGTGTGCATGCATGCCCACAATCCCAGGAAGAGAACAGAGAAGGGATTGTGGCATGGTCATCCCCCTGAAGAGTGACTTCTCACTTTCTCTCACTGTCACTGTCTCTCTCTGGCAAGTGCACACACCCTAAGGCAAAAACCTCCCCCCAGCCCTCCCCCCACCAAAAAAAAGATTGTGGTGTGACTAGACTCCATGAAGAGTGCTTTGTCCCTGCCTCCTATCTCTGGTGGGCATACAAATGCCCTCTAACCTTAAAAGACCAAAAAAAAAAAAAAAAAAAGGAGGCTTCAGGATATGAAAACTGGGCAGTGAGTAACTGACATTTGAGTGAGGAGTGGGTAAAGGATACAATACATTGAAGAGTGAATGAATGGAAAATGGGGAAGGGGAGTATAGATCACTGTTCTTTACTTCGCAGTAAAGAAAAGGAGCCAGGAGATTTAGCAGTTTGACAAGTTATCAGGCTGGGAGGAGTATACATATTCTGTGCATTATCTGTTTTATATGACTTGCATCTAAAGACTTGGAGAAAAAGGACTGCCTTCTGGTTCCTTGTAGCACTTACCAGATTACAAAATAAAAATAGCAGCACTAGTAAACCATTGTTTAGAATGTAAAACATTAATACCCCATAAACTTCACTAAATTTTAATTAACTTCATAGGATAGAAGGGAGCGCCCTAGACTGAACCAATTAGTCATTAAATTCAAATCATTTACCTGCACAGGGTGGTTGTTCAAGCGCTGTTATGCGATTTGACGGCTCCGTGAGCAATGCTAGGGATGTTGGGAGGCGTTACCTTAATTCCTTCACCCTGGGCTGCACGAGGACATACTCACCCCCATAGTAGAGTCCTGTAGCAGTGCACATCCGCCACTGTCCCTG